AATTTTTTTAATTTTTAGTTTTAATTTTTAAATTGACAGATAATGCATGTTTTTATCACATATAATTTGATGTTTTGAAGTATATACACATTGTAGAATTATTAAATATAGCTAATTAACAGACATGTTATTTCATCCAGCTATGATTTTTATGGTGAAATCACTTAATATCCACTCTCCACAATTTTCAAGACTGAAATAGAGCATTACTAACTATAGCACCTGGCTGTACAGTAGATGGATCTAAGGGACAGGGATATATTGGTCAATAAATTTTTTTTTAAATAAAAATACTGAAGCCATCATTCTTTTGTCTTTTACCACTGAATGTTACTTTTAGAAGTCTGATGATTCCATTCAAATTCCAAATGTACTAAGTAACTTATCTATGTTTTCTTCCAGGAAGATTTTTGAATTGCTCATTAAAAGTGGCATTCTGAAATGTCCTGATCATGTTCCTTCACATCATTTCTTTCAGTCACTTTGTTGCTATTTGGGGAATCTTTTAACTTGCACACCAGCGGCTTTGGTTCTAAGATACTTTCTTAGTACCTTTCTTTGGTTATTTTGTTTTATGTCTTTCTTCTGCTTTCTCTTAATGGAATTGTTATTCATATATTAGATTTTTCTGAATGTTTTCTAATTTTCTTACTTCCCCTCCCCATATCTCTGTCTTTTATTGTACTTTCAGGGACATGTCTCAATTTTTTTTCTCAAAGTTTCAATTTAGAGTTCACCTTATATCTATGAGGTTTTCCCCTTTGATTGTTCCTTTTTCTCTAGTATCCTATTTTTCTTTCATGGATAGAGAATCTCCTTCTGCTTCTTTGGGGCTATAATATTTTTTCCTCACCTTCATTACTTCTCAGTCTGTGAAATAATTTCTCCTGTTAATTTTGGTCTCCTTTTAATATTGAAGACAAACAGGGAGATCTATCTTTTGCAACAGGAAAGGGGCCCAAGAGGTAGAAGAAGGGGTAGGAAGGAGGGAAGGAGGTGAGAAAAGGATTCAGTTTTGTTATATACAGGTAGTAGCTCCTCATGATAAATGGAATCGTTATGTAATGCAAACCATACTAATAAAAATTAAGAATTAAAGAGAAAGAGTGATGCATTAAAAAATGCTGGCCAGAAACTTTATAGATAATTAAACCTTGTTGATTGGTCAACTTCTCTATGGGCTGGCCAAGTATCAATCTGTGTTTTTCTGTTGAAGGATCTTTATATGCTGGTGTCTGGAAATACTCAACTTGAGGTCACTGCTTTTCAGATAAGAATGTCTATTATGCTCTAAGAAGACATTAAGGACTGACTCTTGCTTTTGAGAGCAGAGCTGGGGAAATTAGTCAAGGATCCCACCATTCAGGTTGTCTCACTCTGTTATTGTCCTGATCTCTGTTTTTCACTTCAGCTCCCCTGTGCCTAGTGCACTAATACATCCACTGTTCGGTTTCTCTGGGGAGTAAGTGTCTAATGTCGTGGTGAGTGGACACTGCCACGTAGGGGGAGAGAAAGAGCTGGAGTTATAGGTAGATATGAGGCTTAGGAGGCCAACTGTTTTTCCTTTAGGCTTTCAGTCAATCTCATGGTTTCAGCTTCGACCCTTCCCCTACCTCTCTGCTTCATCATAATCCTTAAAGCCTGGAAGTACTCAACCGCTCAGATTCTCAGCAGGAAAATTAGCCTGTTTCCTGACATTATATTCCTCTGCCAACCAATGTACTTCGGTTGTAAATTTCTGCACTGTATTAAATCATTTGCTTCTTCCTGATAAACATCGCTTCTACAATTGTATTGTAATTTCCCTTCTGTTGTCTCCTCTCGCACTTTTCCTTATTCTTTCATAATGCTCTTTGTAATGGTCTTGCCATTACTGTCTTTAAGTATAAGCTGTCTTTAACTATAGCTTTAAAATATTTTTCCTTTGTTATCTGTAAGAATCTTCTCAAAGGACAAAAACAACCTAGAGACACAGAAACATTTCTTCAATTTTGCAATCTGCTTAGAAATTATTTTTAGTCTTATACAAATATGTAAACTAAGACATATTCCCTGATGCCATTTGCCTGGGCTTGACTCACATGGGCGCTAACAGACAAGAATTTGTCAACATACAACCATATATATTGTCAAGACTGAAAAATGTCACATCTCCTGGGGTACCGTCATCGATAAGCCTGGGAAGAGTTGGAATTGTTCTTATGTTCTTCTTGTACATTGTCAACCTCTATTGTAGCTTTTCACATTTTTCTATAAATATTTATTTAGGGGAGTGTCACCCACAATAGACTGGAAATTTGTAAATTTGGAATCAGGCCTTATTCTCTTTTGTATTACTTTTGTCTTCTATTATATTTTAACCACACATTTGTTTAATGAAAAAATAAATAATGGTGCCCATGCATACACCCCCACCCCGTCCCTTTTGCATTTTGGGTAATCACTTAGACAAGTGGGGAAAAAAATCCACCAAAGGGATTATCAGTTAATTAGCATATCGAAAAATACATGAGAGTTTATCATGTGCATCACGGAGAATATACTTAATATTGTGGTTTGGATCTAAAATGTCCCCCAAAAGTCTCACGTGTTTGAAAGATGATCGGATTATGGGGCCCCCGCACTGGACAGTGGATTGTTCCATGGATGAGTTCAGCTGTTAGGAGTCAGCCTGGTCAGAGGAGGGTGGCCTGCAGTGTGACCTGGATGAGTCTCTCCCTCCAGTCCTTTCTCTCTCAGCTTACCAGTGCTCTCCTGAACCAGACTCTCACCATCCCTTCCTGCTAGAAGCCAGCAGACTATGAACTGGATCCTCTGAATCCATGAGCCAAATAACCCCCCTCCTTTAGGTTGTGAGTGTCAGGTGTGTATTTTGTCCCCATGGCGGGAAAGTGACTAAGACACTCAAGTAGACAAGATATAAATTTTGCCATGGAGAGCTATGAATCTAGTTACTTGGGATTTTATAATTACTTTATTTAAATTGTAGATACCTTTTTATAATTACCTTGAATTATTTTGTAATCAGTACAATTATTTTTAAAGATTTTATTTAGTTTATATTTTTCTTAGTCCATGTTTGCAGCACATAATGATTACATTTATCACAAGGAATAGATATATGTGTATAACACATTGCAATTTTTTTTTCTTTATCGACTCTTCTCTTCCCTTCCTGCTCCTTCCAACTCTTGGTCTCTTTCCTATTTGCAAAAGCTCTATTTCCATTTTTTTCCCCATTCCCTTTCCCTCCCCTCCACGCCCCCATCTCTGTTCCCCTTTTCATCTGCAAAAGATCTCCCTACTTATTATTATCTGTCTTCTATTTTGTGTTTCTCATAAGTGAAACCATGAGATATTTAAGCATGTGGGTCTGATTTACTTCACTTAGTATTATGGTCTCAGTTGCATCTATTTTCCTACAAATCCCTCAGGTTTATTTTTGAACTGTTTTACTGAATTTTAAAACAGCCTAGAGCCAGGGATTTAGTTCAGTGGTTCTGCCACCTGCTTCTCAAGCTCAAGGTCGCAAGTTTGATCCCCGGTACAAAAAAAACAAAATAAAACAAAAAAACCAGCCTAGAAATTTGAGTATGTTATGGAAGAATCCTTCACAATCTTTCATAATGAAAACAGGTAATAGGTTAAGGATGACAATGTGTGTGTGTGTGAGTGTGTGTAGGCGTGTGTAGTGAGTGTGCATGAATACACGTGTGTAGTAAAAGATGATTCATTTGATTGGGTAAAGCATGACATGGGAACACTCAGATTTCTTTCTTTGGCCTCAATTTGATGTAGAGAGGTAAACTATTGTCATCTTACTTTTGGCTTTGGAAATGACATTAAATCTTGTCATTACTGCTAATCATGAATTTTAAAATATATTTTTAAAATTAATTTCATTGGTACATTTTAGGTGTACAGTAGAATGACATTCATCATTGGAAATTTGCACCTTTACATAATCTCTCTTGGTTCTTCTTTATTCCCCCTTGCCCAGCCCTCCCTTCAACCCCTCCATCCTTCCCTATTTACAAAGACTTTGTTTCCATTTTTCCATTTTCTCATATTAATTCCATTCCCTTCTTTCCTTTCCCCTACCTCTCCCACTTCCCCTTCCCCTTTGCCCCTTTTGTTCCTATTTCACATTATCTGTTATACCTTTTAGTCCTTATTTACACTTTCAGTTTCTCACACTAGAGAAACTATTTGGTATTTACACATGTGTGTCCTATTTATCACTTAAGAGTATCACCTCAATGTGCATTCATTTAGCTATAAATGTCTCTAATTTCTCATTTTTATGGCTGAGTAGTACTCCATTGTATAAAAAAACCACATTTTCTTTATTCAGTCTCCATTTGATGGGCAAATGAGCTGCTTCCAAGTTTTAGCTATTACAAATTGTGCTGCTATGAACATGGGTGAGCATATATCCTTGTGGTGTTATGAATTTTTAATTATGAATTTTAAAATATGAATTTAATTTTCACATAATGGCCATTTCTCAGCAAATGGATACAAACAAAATGGCCATTTCTCAACAAAAGGATACAGAAAAGTAAAGAGATTCTAACTAAAAACTTGATAAAATTGGTAATTGGTATCCAAAAATTATCTGTTGTATTTATTTTGCAGATATATTTAGCTTGAGGGCAATCTGATTTATGGAAATCAAACTTTTCCAAAGAGGTTGAGTTAGAAGGTAGTCATTTCGTTTGAGATTGTACTTTGCTTTACTAAAGAATATATTTAAATCAAGAATTTTGCACATTTAAGTATTTGGTCACAGATTACTAGAGGAAGTAGGGAAATCAGTTTCAGATATTGGATGTCCAGTGAAGATTAACATGTGTAAAATACTATCAAACATTTCATTTATATATCTACTTATAGCAACATTGAAGTGAGATTATCATGGCTGAAATGATATCTTTCATTTTGACTTCCATTTCTTATGACCAGAGTTCTTTAGATTAACTGATAAAAAAATTCAGTACCTTGACGTGATGTCGTGAATCGAGGGTATCGCTATGTTGCTGGGGGTGTCTTCCACAGTAGTGATTTGGGTTCCATTGCTTTTTGTACATGCATATTGTGTGCAGACTTCAACCTGCAAACATGAGTTTAGACAAGAATAAACCCAACCATTTTCAAAATGCAGACTGATAATGGGCTGAATCCAGCTATCTTCACTTCACATAAATCTCTTCCAGTACTCCACTGTCTCCTGGGGTTTAGTAAATATTCATTTTTGATGTTAATTGACTCCAGTGGGACATGTGCAGAGTAGATTGCAGAATTGGGCTCAGGACAATTGATTTAGTGATTAGAATGGTGATTTTTAGTCTCTGGTTCGAACCATTCAGAAAGAGAAAGACACATCAATCTACTTGGAGCACTGTCGAGGAGTGGAAGCCACTCAGGCGACAGTTTGCAAGCATAATAGGATCTCCACACAGCTTTCTAGATCTGTAACCCAGTAGTGTAATGATGATATCTTCCAGAAGTCTTGACATTTTACAACAAATCGCCTACATGCTAATGCATAATGGAAGAAAAATGAAGCTTAGAAAGTCTTCCAATATGGCTGAGCTATTTTATATCCATTTGTTCCAGCTACAATGGTGTTTTTACCTTAATCGCAGCAGAAAATCATCATTCACCCCTTTAATTCTGCCACCTAATCTGAATAAAAACGGAGGAGGATGGAATAACTAAGATTAGGAATGGGGTTCCTCAAGCATTAGTGATACAAAAGGAATACATTCCCCAAGAGGCAGGAGAGATGAGTGAGTATACAAAAGGCTGCCAATGGAGCGTTCACCAATGGCATTGTTCTGCTCTCAATGAGGGGATAACCAAAGAGGAACTGTACTTTTTCCCGTGTCAATTTATATTTGGCATCTCATACATAAAAAGAGGAGGGAAGCCAGAAACTGATGATTCTTAAACACCCATTCTGTGCTTTTAAGTGAAGCAGTTCTCGGATTTTTCTATTGGCATTAGGAGAAAGGCAAATGTGATGCATATTGTATTTAGCAGATAAGTCATTTTATTCCTAAGGCAGTTTGCATCTAGATGCGAGTGGAGACATCTGCTTACAATGCTGTATAAGTCATGTTGTTTATTGATGCAGTATACCCTTTTGAGCTACTATTTAGTAATTTTAAACACTATCAAGGCCCTATACTCTAAGTACAATTAAATCAAAAATATCTTTAAGGCAGATTAACTTAAAATAGAATGCTGTAATAAAATTAATGACATAAACTTTTCACATTTTAGAAAATGTCTGACTCTATGATGCTTAATGGGATAAATCAGAATCAACTCAATTGACTTTGTTATGTAATATGTACCACATATTATGATTAGTACTTGAGTAAATAATTTTTAAATTTCATAACATTCAATAATTATACACATTTATGGGGTTCAATGTATTTCAGCGCTTATTCACAGCACACAATGAGCAAATCAGGATAATCTGAATTCCATCTCACCATTTCTCCTTATTTATAGCCTTTGAGCTTCTTTCTTCCAGAACTTTATAAGACATCTAGCAGGCTATGATGAACTATCATCATCCCACTGTGCTGTGGAACACTGAAAGGTATTTCTCTTATCTAACTCTATTTGGCACCTGTTACTTAATCTCCTTCTATCCTACCAACTGCCATCATTCCCAATCCTTAGAATCACCATACTACATTCAGATCCACTTCTTTTAGCTTCCACGCATGAGTGTTTTCTTGCCTATATTTTAATAAGTCTGTAAATTGAAAATCAGAGTAAATAAAAATGACTAGGTTATTAAATTGGTAAGGTTTGGCATATCTGATTTGGGTTTCACCCCATCCTATGCCTTCTCACTTAAATATTAGTATAGCTTTAAGGTCTAAACTACATAGGTTCAGCCATATGTTTCCCCAGATAGCTTTTCTTTTGACTTTAGAAAGCCAAAATGTTTTCACTCTTACTAATGTAACATTGAAACTCCCCATCTCAGGACATATTTCTGGTGCTGTAACTATATTGTATAGTATGGGAATAAAACACAAACATAAGAATTTAAAAGAAGATACAGTTAAATGAAAAACTGAAATTGTTTTTCCCTTTCAAAAAGGATATATAAAAGAGTAGACACTTGGCTGCATTAACTACCTTAGAATCATTTGCTATTTTATAGAAGGGGATAGCATAGAACACCTTCATTCTAAATAGTAAACATACCAATAAAATCATCTTTGACATCATAATAAAGATCACTGAAATTTAACAACCAAGTTTCCAGAAATGCAGCAGCTATGTCAAGTGTAGCATCTCTAGACTATAAAGAGCTACCAAAAATAAATATATACAAATATACTATAAATAGTTACCAAAAATAAGAACATCTTAGGCACTAAGAAGAAAATTCAAATGTTGGGCTCTCAGTTGGAGTTTGTGTTTCCATGATCCCAATTTGATCAAGTCCCGCCAGCACTGGCTCCATCCACCAGGCATGAGAGAAGCCTTCCGCACTAGGGGTTCTGGGACACCTTGTACCTCACCTGCTGCTCTACAGACAGAGGCCAAGATGCATAGGCAGGTGCATCACCAGGGCTCTCACCACTCCCTGATCTCTCAGTTCTGACGAAGAGAAGCGTACATACCACCTTGTCAGAGCTCAGACAGCTTCTCTATCAACAACACAAAGATGATGCCAGGGTGATGTCTCCATCACCACCCTGTGCTATCCTTGTTCACGAAACTAGATTTCTAATTATTTTGGTCATTACCTTTATTTTACACTTTGACCCTTACATGGTCTATGTGTACATCCATGTGCACATGGATGCACTCCAAGAATCATGAACATAAACATCACTCCCCACATTCCATGCCCAGATAACTTAATGGAAACCATGGGATTCCCTGAAAAAAGTCTTTTTCCTTTCTTTCTTCCTCTTTTTCTTTCTTTCTTTCTTTCTTTCTTTCTTTCTTTCTTTCTTTCTTTCTTTCTTTCTTTCTTTCTTGTTCTTTCTTTCTTTCCTTCTTTTTTTTTCTTTCTCAATTCTTTCTTCTTTTTTTTTCAGGACTTAGGATTGAACCCAGGGCCTTTATACTGAGCTAAATCCTCAGCCCTATTTTTATTTTTTAGATTGAGACAGGGTCTTGCTAAGCCTCTGAGTTGCCCAGGCTGGGCTCAAACTTGGAATCTGTACTCCTCAGCCTCCCAGAGTGCTGAACACCTTTCTTCTTTTGTCAAAGATCTTTTTGTTTGATTTCTTTAGGAAGTCAAGCCTACAGTCACTGTAGGGTAGGCTGAAGCATTGGATCTAGCCAGATGATTATGTCTCACCCTTAAATGTGGGGAAAAACAGAGATGGGAGGTGGAAAGAGGTGGCTCTACTCAGTGAATAAAACCAGCAAAAAGTTTCTGTGGTCAAATAAAATTTCTACGCTTAAAATCTTCTGAAAATTATTGACAAAGCATACAAATTTCAGGATTGCAGATTCTTTAAAAATTCTCAAATGTGCATGTCTTCTCTACAAACTTTGAGCTTCTTAAATAGTGTTTACTTCACTTATTTGGCCTTGTAATTCCTTATATCTCGGCATTTTTGCCAAAATTTCCAATTCCTTGCAGATAAGAGTCTGTGTTTTACATACTTTAATATTTCCTATGTTTTTTCTACTTTTAAATTTAACAGATTCTGAAGAGGTGTCTGAACTGGCTGGTCAATGCACTTGCTAAAATTGTATGTTAGATTTCATCATACAAATGCATTTTTTTTTTGACCAATGGTGCCCTGACTTCCTAAGATCCTCAAAGGTTCCAAGGACAAAAACCTGTAACTACAAGGACTCTCAGATAGGTGTGGTCATGGAGCAGCAGTTGTTGAATGGATACCTTTCTTTCATCCTCAGATACAGTCCTTCAGTATCACTAGTTTGCTTCCCTTTCCTCTGTGCTTCCCTGCTGTAGCCAAATTGACAGTGCCAGAGGTGGACAGAATGTTTTGTATCACCTCATCTAGGGCCTTCACACAGTGAAAACTGACATCAAAGGAGTTCAGTCACTACTAAGCAGCATGAATGGGAATGGAGAGAACATCTCCACATGCGCAGGTTGATTGTGATTTTGAGATCAATAAAAGATTGGGGGCAAAGGTGAACTGGTGAGATTTATTGAGAATATGTGATTGGCTCCATTTTGTCAGTGAGAATTCCATCGCCATCCTTTCCCATCTTATCATGATCCTCTCTCCAGAGACGGCACATGTTTGCCCACAGCAAACAGATTTAATTTGGATCAATTTGCCTCTTCTCTCTCCCCTTTCCCACCAAATAAAAAGTCTGTAGCCAAGACGGTGAGTATCCACTTAGAGACACAGCTCCGCATGTTTTATTTAACACATTCATAAGCTTAGGCACCAACAAGAACAAGGCTCTCACCTGAATGTCATAGACAGTGAAGGGAGACAGGTTTCTCAGAATAAGCGACCCGGGCACATCCATTCCGGTCTTGTAGAGCTTATTGTTTACATAGACTGAGTACTCGGTGACGGCACCATTTGGGTCTGAGGGGGTTGACCAGATGACGCGTGCAGCTGTGCGGCTGATGATGACAACCTCTGGCGGCTGCATACCCTGAGGCTCTGGAATGAAAGGAAGAGGAGGCATCCTCTCCAGCTGTCTCTGAGAGAGCCCTTGTTACACTAAATGCAGATCAGTATTTAGGTTTCGAAAAGGGTCCTTGCTTATCTGCTTTCCTCTGATGAAGTCATCACAGTCTGAAGTCCTCTGCAAATTGGCTTATTATATTCTCAGTCAGAAACCCTAAGAATTGCTAGTAAAATGCTTTATACCACTGGCATCGTGCTAATCTTCAATACTATGTGACCAGTGGGGTACAGTGATGAATTATTCACCCATCTGCGCCCCTCAGACTTATCTGTGATTTGTCTTTTTTACAACCCTTCACTCCATACCTCCTCAGCTGGGGCTGGGGTGAGTGGGGGTAGGGAGGGAAAACAGAAAATTTGCTTCTTAAGCAAACAATAGAACTCGAATACACTGAGGCTGGTGGAACGTGAAAAATCATTTGATGTTACTAGCTTGTAACTCAGGCAAGATGAACTAATAATGTAATATTGTCATTATGTAAATGATTTGAATGTTGATTACCATAGGTAATGATGAAATCTAACATTAGGAAAAAATCTTGCTTAGCGTTAAATTACACAATTATTCAAGCATGTCAGAAATAACTATGCAAAGACCTATTTTTATCATAAGAACCCATCTTAACTAGTTGAAAAATTGTCCTTGCTATTCATCCTATTTTATAAACAAAAGGTGCTGACCTTTGGCACCAGAGAGGGAAATGGGTTCCATACTTAAAGAGCTCTGCTAATGACCTGGAACACTTGCTTTGGAGGTAATGATATTATAATGTTTATAATGAGACTTTATAAAGCCAAAAAGATTAGAAAGCCCATTCCAAATACATTTTAGATTCACAAGTTCCTTCCCTTCCTTCCTCCCCCTTGCTAACTGGCTTCGAAATGAGTCACAGGCAATTTTTCTCAGTGGCTGAACATCCACCTACCATTCTTGGTGACTCACGTAGGGCCCTCCCTGTGCTTGGCTGTTGTTCTAAAAAGCATACTGCTTCTGAGAACAAATCTTTTTTAAAAAAGTGTTTCTGGGCCGGGGTTTTAGCTCAATGGCACCATGCCTGCCTTGCAAGCACAAGGTCCAGAGTTCAATCCCTGGTACCACACACACACACACACACACACACACACAAACAGTGTTTCTAAATGTCACCACTTATTGATGTGAACACAGATCCAAACTGAGCCTTCACTGAAAAGAACAGACACAAACTGGGCTACTGTCCCATCCCCAGGGCCTTGTGCTGCTGTTTCAATAGGGCCACTTATTGATCTGCCACTTGATGACAGCAGGTGCTTAAGCATTTGAGCCCCGGCCCTCTTCCCTCTAACACCAGAAACTTTATAGTGGGATGACTGATTCAAGCCTGGCAAGGATTGATCAATCTGATTCGCATCTAAAGCCCAGTATCCCTCAGAATCTGGACTTACCCCCATCACAGGTGGTTGCTTGCAAGACTGTACTATTGATACTGTGGACTCCATTGAAGACAGAAATAAAAATCCAATACTCTGTGTTCGGATTCAAGTGGCCAATGATGTAAGAGCTTGCACCTGGGAGGATTCTCAGAGATTCGTTCGAGGTAGCAGAACTCCAGAAAAGAGTATAATATTCAACATCTCCTTGTAGGTCTTGAAAAGCTGTTAGTAGTAAGTGCAAGACAATGCAATCACAGATGACAGAAGGGTCTCCAGGGGAAAACACAATAAACTATCACTGGCTATTTTCTAGAATGGGAGAAAAGAAAACTTATGGAAACTTCCCTTTACAAAAGTTTGGAAATTTCTTTGTGGTGGTGCTAGTGGTATTAGATTTTTAAACAAATTTTATTATTTTCCTTATCCCATAATTAATTTCATAGAGTCATACATGGAATATAAACTCTTCAATTTCCTTTCAATATTTTAATTATCTGACTTAATGCTTAAAAATTGGACATAACATTTATGAAAGGAAACTACATAAAACAAAAGTATCTAATACATGAAATTGTGTCTGTTCATATATCATATAATCCCATAGAGGAGTCTATGCTAATACCAAGGAAGGCTTTTCTTGACATAGATGCTAAAGACATTTTACAACTGCTAACAAAAGCTGTTAAAGGGTACCTGGAAGGATGCTTGTCTAGAATCCTTGTATGCACACTGCCAATGCAACAGGGGTGTGTAGCCTGCTTTCCTGAAGTTCTGCCTCAGTAGAATCCAGTAGGAAAATTAAATTTATAATCGAGACTCTCAGCCTCTTCACCTAGTTCCCAGTGTTCCTATGATATCAGCAAGCTCTTACCTGTCTCACAAATATAGCTCATCAATGTCTCCATCCTTACCCTTTCAAAAACCAGCCTGAAGCTTTCTCTCACCTTTTCCATCCGATTTCTCCATTTCTTGCCCTAAAATCTGCTTGTTATCTACCTCCAATGATTCTTTTAAAAGAGGAGGTAAGAATAGTCACGTTTCCCTAGGTAGGGAGTAGTACGCTTTTCCACTTGCAGCAGTATTATTTCTCAGGCCTTAAAAAGGAACTATGACCTTGGTTTGTGTTGCTGCGAGTGTGGAGGGCTGACCTATGAGCTTCCTGAAACCGCGCGTCGCATTGTGCATCAAACCCACACAGCCCCTCCCTCTAAGTATTGGGAAGAAAAAGTGGCATTTCTCCATGTGATTACTGAAGTGTGATTTCTCCAATGTATTGGACCCCAGTATATGGCATGGACAGTAACACAGCTTTGGGAATGATATCTATTTCTTTTAAGGAGCCCTTTTCATTAAGATCTTGGCAGTCTGACATAAAAATGAATGGTAAGATTTTGATTTTTGTTTTTATTTTTCCTAAGTACACTATGGGTTTCACTTTATCTTCAGCAGTATTTTTAAAAAGTGTGGTGAGCCATTGTAGTTAGCAGAGTTTATATCAGGAGACCCTGAGCAATTAATTTGGAAAACTCTGGGGATCGGGATGTTTCTTTTCTCTGATGCCATGAAATGTAAACATGTTTAATAATGAGGTCATTATTATTCATTGGCAGGCATGCCTATTCATAGACTTCAGCACTTTCCTACATGCTCGTATCAGTCAAGTACAGCAAAGCCACCTGTGTTAGGAGTGCAAAAGTTCATTTCTTTCATTAGAAGTATTTTTTTTTCCTGGCTGACAGTATTACTACTCATTAATTCATGCCTGCATGGCTTAATGGAACATATACTAGATTTGAAGTGTATGTTACATTTTAGCTTAAGTGAGCAGACTGATTAGGAAGTCAAGCCCTTAAGATATAATACTAATAAAGGGTCTTAAAACTATTTACAAATAGAAATGGGTTTTACTAGGATTATGAAATATGCCTAGTATTTCTTGTATCAAGTTCTAATTACTAAGGTAGATAACATTCAATATATTTGGACTGGCACCACTGGTTCAAGATGTGCGTAGATCATAGGTCAGTGTCTGGATGAGATCCCATGACATCCTTGTCTTAGCCACGCGCCATGTCAGCCTTCTGAAACAGAGGAGAGGACAGGACGTGGTTCCGCCCTACTGTTGACAGCGGCGTACTGCAGACTCCAGGGGCTCTTGGAAGCGGAGACAGGCAATGGCTTAGGACAACAGGTGCTGGTTTCTGCCTGTCCTGCCTTCCCAATGCCTGCTTCAGCGCTTGCTATGTCTTGAATAGAGGTGACTCCCTAAAGCCTCCCGCGGTCCCAGGCAGATGGTTGGAAGGTGTTGGATGCTGGGTACCTGGAGCTGATTGCTGCTAGAAGGTGGGCCTGCTTGGGAGAGGCAGTCCCTGTGGCCAGGCCTGGAAGGGTTCATCTCCCTCCCGGCTCCTCCCTCTCTGTCTGCTTCTGGTTCACCCTGCATCTGTGCCATGCACTCTTGCCTTGGAGCCAGCCGACTATGGACTTAGACTTCTACAAACCTGAGTCTAAACCAACCTCTCTCCTTTAAGTTTCAGGTGTTGGGTATTTTGTCCCAGCAACTAGGAAGTGACAAACACAACGCTTCTCTTTCTTCATCCCTGCAGATGCTACAACCCAGAGGGCAGCACACAGGACAATGATGGAAACAAGGGCATCTTTGGATTTCTCATCATCACCTGAGGGCTTCTGGAGCTGGGCAGCAGGGAGAATGCTTCTGCACTGTTCACAAAGGGCTTTGGGCCTCAGAGGGCTCCTCCTCAGCAGCCGGCTTGTGAAGGAATGGAAGATGCATCCGCAGTTCCATAGACCAAGATGATATGATATCAAAGGCTGCTGACCTTGGACTTGCCTCTGAGTGAGGGAGGCTATTAAAATTGAAGCAGCTAGGATGAGGAGGTGAATTTTACCTTCCCTATCTACTGAGAAAACTCGGGCCCGAATGTAGTTCTCTTACTATAAAGAAGAAAACATATCACATGGCACCTTCATTGCAAGACAAGGGCAACACGGTTGTGAACCTTTAGAAGCAGAGTTTATTTTTCTGCCTGCCATTCTTTCTATGAGAAGACGATGGAGGTTTTATAATCCATTAGCATGGTGTCCCTTAAGATGAGAAAAGCAGCATGTTGATGAGAAAGAAGCCTCTAGGGTACAAATACGGACATGAAGATGGATATGGGGATGGGAGGGAATGTGCCTTAAGTAAGAAAGCAAGGCAACTGGGCAAGGTGCTGCACACTTGTAATCCCGAAATTCTGGGAGGCCGAGGGAACTGCAAGGTAGCCCAGCTGGGAAACAGCAACTTAGTGAGAACGTGTTAAAAAAGAAAGAGGGGGGAGAGGGAGGGAGGGAGGGAGGGAGAGAGAGGGAGAGAGAG